AAACCCTTTAATTTGCCAACTCAATCTTTGAGAATGTATCTTAATGATATTCTCACACAAGTATGCACAAAGATGCTCCTGTGGTCTGAATCTCTGTGTTCCGTACAATTCATATGTCAAAACCTAACCACAAAGGTGATGGCATTAAGAGATGGGACCTTTGGGAGGTGATTAGGTCATGAGAGCTCCACTCTCATGAATGGGATTAATGTCCTCAAAAAAGATTCCACAGAGAGCTGCCTTGCTCTTCCACTTGTGAGGACACAGAAAAAAATCACCATCTATGAAAAACGAGCCCTCACCAGACACCATATCGGCTGTCTTCCCAGCCTCCAGAACTGTGAGCAATACATTTCTGTTATTTATAAATTACTAGGTCTAAGGCATTTTGTTAAAGCAGCCCCAAATTAGGCAGATGCATATATATAAGAGTGTTCATTCCAGTATTGCTTTTAATAGCAAAAACTGCCAAATTGATTATCTATCAACAGGGGGTCTGATTAAATAAATTATGAAGCTGCTAAAGAATGAAAATGCCATGTGGCATTAAAAAAATGAGGTAGATCTGCCTGAGCCAACATATTACTAAGCATAAAAGCAAAATGCTGAAGAGTGTACATAAAGTAGTCCCATTTGTATGGTAGAAAACATATACTTACATATCGACTCAGTACATCAGGAAGAAAACACAATGACTGGCTAATAGTTGTTACCTTGCGGGAGTGATTTGGCGATCTGGATGAGGGGGAAGATTATTTTTATTTTTAAAAAAATCTTAGTTTTTGTAAAAATGATAACCAAAAAACCAAATAATCCAACCTATCTGTGTACACACGAAGTATCCCTTATCTGAAATGCTTGAGACCAAAAGTATTGTGGATTTCAATTTTTTTTGGATTTTGGAATATTTACAGAATATGTACCATCTGAGAATTCCTAATCCAAAATTCCAAAATCTGAAGTGCTCCAGTGAGCACTTCCTTTCAGCATCATTTCAGCACTCAACAAGTTTTGGGTTTTGGGACATTGTGGATTTCAGACTTTGGGAATAGGGATGCTCACTCAACCTGTAAGAAGGACTGGCCACATGACATAATCATTTGATGGGTTTCTTCAATCATTATTAAATTCCATCTATTTTGAAAGAAAGAGGCCCAAGATATCCATCTGTACTCCTTCTCTGCCCCCAGGAGGAGTTATCTTCCCCTTCCCTGGGTGCCTGGAGGTACCTGCGCAAAGCCTCACAATGATTCTCATGACATCTTTTGACCTACCCTCAGATTACAAGCAACTGAAGGCAGAGGCTGTTTCATTAATCTTCATATCCCAGGAACCACTTTCAACACCTGACAATAAAGGGCCCATGACTATTGATCGAATGTAGAAGTTAAGATAGCTTATTTATCTATTCCTCAACTGCAGAATATCGTCGATTCAACAGTTTAACCACAGATTCAACTGTTCAGTGTACACAACTAGCCAACTGTCAATCAGCAAGGTTGACTATAACTCTAACTGTATAAATGTTACAGTTCCAACACAGATAAAACAAAACACACCACTATGTAAAGATTTACAGGAATTTTGATTAATAGACCTTGATTCTAGGAAGGCATGTTTTTCTTGTACTAAAATTAAAAAAAAAAAAACTGTGACCAATCCCAAGGTGGTGAGAACTCGTGGCACAGAATTAAAATTTCACCCGTGTTGTTCTGCTCACTTCCAGAACTCTGGGTTTGCATTTGCCTTAGAATACGTATAAAATACTATAGCTATTTCAATAACCCTATTAAGGTGGTCCTGGATCAATCTGGTATGATCTGCTAGATTCTTATTTCTTATTACTGATTGGAGGCCAGATAATAACTCTAAAGGGCAAATTTCTAAGAAACACTCATTATTACGGTAAACACTGGCATATAAGGTAACCATGGAACAGCTAACATGGTATTAATTTGCACGTAATTCCTGGTGGGGCTTTAGAATCTCTACTGATGTGTAAAGCCCTTCATTGACGGAGGCTCAGTTTTCAGCATGTGCATATACTCTTGGTGTGTATTTGTGAGTATCTCATATATATTCTATACTGAATTTTTTTCTCATATGCAGTAATAAATGTTTTGTGGTGTTTTGCAAGGGAAAAGGCAATAGTAAATATCTGCCTTATAATCTGTACTTCCTGGCAAAGTTCAATACTATTTTGAGGATGAAGCCTGGAATACTTAGAGCTAGGAGGATGAACACTAATCATGTCATTTAATCCCTCATTTTATGGATGGAGAGACTGAGCTCCAGAGAGATGAAATGACCTTCCTCCTGTCCTGCGATTGGTCGGGGGGCAGGAGACCCAGGCCTAGAACCCAGTTCCCTGGCCTCAAGAGCAGCATGTGTTCTAGTCCCCATTCCTTCACATTCAATCAGCATAAGAAATGTTTATGCAAACACTCATCATAATTATTGGGATAATGCTGTAACAGCTACAACCGATTCTGTACCATCCCCAAACATTGCAACCTTCAAGAACAAACAGAGGGAGACATGAGACACCATTGATGGGGTGGTACAGTGGGCAGAGTAATGGTCCCCCAAAGACTTCCACATCCTGATCCCCGGAATCTGTGAATATGTTACTTAACATGGCAAAGGAGACTCTGCAGATGTGATTCAATGGAGGATCTTCAGATGGGGAGATTATCCTGGATTATCTGGCTGGGCCCAATGTCATCACAAGTGAGAAAGATGAGGCTCTGAGAGATAAATTTGTTTGTCCAGATCACATAGCTGGAATATGATGGAGCCAGAATTTGAAGCCAACATTGATCCTTTTTGTTATTCCATCCTTGTATACCTTTTGCCCATATTATGATCACCAAGAAAAAGTAAAATCTAGATTTTTTTACAATTATAGGATTTTATTTCAAAATTTCTTGATATCCTGTGTTCCTGACTTTTCTTCTTATTCATACTCTCCTATATATTTATCTTCACAAATCCAATTTTAAAAGTAGATATCACGGGCCGGCCCGGTGGTGCACTGCTACAGTGCGCCGCTTGGGAAGCGCGGTGGCGCTCCATAGCATACATTATACGAAGTTATACGAAAAACTCTTCTGGTAGAAGCGAATGTGGCTGCTTTACAGGCTAATCGGTTTAATATCTAGGCTGGATCTGAATAAATCCAACTCTTGTTCTGGGAGGCAGCAAATTTATCTGCACTGGGTGACTACAGCTGCCATCTCCCAGTCCAGGTGCAATCCTCATAAGTCACCACGTCGCTGCATCCCAGCAGTCCCATCGCATGAATCATTTACTATGTAGAGTGCAGCAGGGCACGGAAAGAATCGTGAACCAGAATGTGCCAGATGGGGTGATCTCATCAGCAGGTGCATGACCAGGAACACATGCACCTGAGCTGTCCAGAAAAAATGTCCCACTTGTGGGTATGAGGGATCATTTGCATTTTTGTTTAAGCTAAATTTGTTGAGGTTTTGTAAGAGTGTTGCACGAAAAAAAGACAAAAAGACAAAAAAAAAAGTAGATATCACCCTGCCCTGAAGCACAAAATATGTCATTTCATAGAATTACCAAACTTTAGAATGAATACTGGTTCCATTTATGGATAAGTAAACTGAGGCTCAGCACAACTACATGCTGTTGGACAATGAGAGCCACGGCCCAGGCAAGAACTAAGGTCCTGTCGACCCAAGTCTGGCATCCTTTTCACCAACAGATTCTACCAGACCGGACTTAACATCTATACCAAACTGTAGCCCCTTAGTATTTTTTCCATTGGAATCTCTTTCTGTCCCTTGTCTCTCTCTTCGACAAGAAAGTTTTTCTCACTCATCTTTCGCAAGGAGAGCTGGTTCTAAGACCATTTTGTATAAGAGCATTTGGGAAAGTTGAGGGGCAGTTCTAACAATAATTACCCTCTTCCTTCTCAAGGCCCAGGAGAGAGCTCTTATCAAACATCGTACCCATGAAAAGAAGCATCTGAGGTAGGCAGGAAGCAATCCCCCAGCCAGCACGGTGAGATTTCCTCTATTAGGAAAGATCAAACTGCCCTGACTAATTTAAAAATGAAGAAAGTAGCTATCAAAGTTGAATTTTTTTTTTTTTTTTTTTTTTGTCTTTTTCCGTGTCCAGCAACGGATCACAACCCTCAGTGTTGCCCCTGTACCGGACCGGGACCGGCAACGGGATCGCAACCCTCGGCGTCGCTCCCGTGCCTCCCTCAGCCAGTGAGCGGGAACCGGTCTGTATATGGGATCCGAACCCTCGGGCGGGAGCGCCGCCTTGCTTCCCAAGCAGCGCACTATCCAGTGCGCCACCGGGCCGGCCCCCAAAGTTGAATTTTTTAGCAGTTTCCAAAACAACTGAAAACCCAGTTGTGTACCAGTTCTCACTTTCACCTCAATCCTAGCATTTACATTGTTTTAATACATAAGATCTTGATTATGACATTTTCAAACTTCTGTTAGTTCACCATAAGGGGACACTTAGCTTTGGGCCCAAAATGTTTTTCAGCTTCCCTTTTAAGCTCATCCTCACTGGACTTTCTCCAGGCAATAGATGAAATCTAATACATTTGGATATACTTGAAGACATAAATGCAAAGTAAAAATTTGTATTCTGTGTGTGTGTGTTTTTTTTTTTAACTTTCAACACAAAGACTCTAGTTTTTGATATGATTCTAATGCTTCTCTGTTAAGCACATTTTTGGCCGCATGAGCAGCAGTGAACTCTAGATGACATCTGAACGTTCCCATCACAGTGGAAAGGCTGGATTCAGACTCAGGAGGGAGTGGGAGCGGCTTAAGACAGCTGGCAGAAGTGTAAAGCTGGGACTCGGGACACCTGGGTAACGCAGGTTGTCCCCCTGGGCCTTGCTGCCTCATTTCTCAGGGACGCGGGGCCTTCCTGGTCACACTCGGAGTCCTCTTCTTGCTGCAGGAAAATGTGATGTTAAATAACAGTAGCTGGGCTGCAGAAATACTCACGGATTTCACAGTTCGCTCCCACCCAGCCATGTGGGCAGTGGCAGGTATAACCATTGGGCTGGTCCAGGCAGGTTCCAGCGTGATGGCAGGGGTTGCTGTCACATTCATTAATGTCAATGTCACACTCTTCACCTAGGGAGATAAGGAGAAGCGGCGATGAAACGGCTGCACCCAAAGCTCATCAGTTCTCTGACAAAACAGAGATCCGAGGCTGGGAGTTACAACCTCCAGCAACAGAGCCCAGTCTGCTGCTTGTGGAAAGTGCAGAACCCTCAGAAAAGTCCAGGCAAGGGATCTTTTAATTAAGTAAAACTAAAAAAGAAAAATAAAAAAGTAACACGGGTAAAGAGAATCTCTCCTTTAGCCTATTTAACTAGTTAACTGAAGCTGATTCCCATGTCTGAATAAATCTCAACTTTGAATGAAAAGGCAAACTTGGGCTCCTAAGTTCATTAATGAAGTCTACTTTACTTTGTATTTCATCAGCTGAACCTTGTTATTTATTTTTCTGAAACTCCAGAAAGCCAAAAACTCACAGTTTATGAGTGCGTTCGAGTGTGTGAGACTGGACTTTCGACTCTTTTCTGTATAGTTCTGGGACATGTGTGCCTAGCCTGAGCCAATTATGAAAATTTATTCCACTTTCCAAATCCCTGGATATGCTTCTGCAGGGTGGAGGTGGGGATGGGAGACTGACTTGCTCAGGAAGAACACCTGGCCCACCTAAAGCGAGACAGTTGTGAAGTCTGGAGTTAGCACAAATCTGACATAATCTCCCCTGGGAAACGGTGGCCCGGAGGAAGCTCCCATCTGCTCCAGCCTGTCCTCCGCCCATAATAAAGAATGTGACCTCGAGCTCCTGCCCCTACCTAGACCCAACTTTCTAGGGTGTCCTTGCCCACCTCAGAGAGAAGCTGCTATAAAGTTACAAACCAGAACACAGGGCCGATGTCGCTGTGATTCAAACACCAACTTACAGGAAATAGCTCATTCTCAAAAGTTACATGAGCAAAGCCATCTTTAAGTGATTTTAAAGCCATCACCATGAATCAATACAAAATGAGTATGCTTCTTAAATTCAAAAGCATTTCATTAAAACTGAAGAGAAGATACATCAAATTAAGGCACTCTCTCTCAAAAGTTTGAAAGCGAGAAAAAGAAATTTTCAAAATAAGCCCCCATTTGCTTAGAGAAATGTGATGAAAAACATAAAACTCCTAGTGCAGCTATCATCATAGACTAAAGCAAAAAAACCAAAATCAAATATTTTTTCCTTTTTCAAAAGACACGATTTCATTGTACACTCAAGTAATTACTTCTAGGCTTACATAAATAGCATTAAATCGCTTTTCTATATGCTATTGGTTTACATCACATTTATAAAACTACCGTATGTCACAGACCACTTTAGAGGAGGAATCTCACACTAAAATATTTCATATCTATTTCATTTCCCACTCTTTCTGTACCTGGCATCGACTATTTTATTTTTAAAGTAAAATCTGCCAAATGAAACATTTACTACTTCTAGGTTCTACTGGGTTGATTATAATTCAGTAGTGTCTAAGTGGATTTGTTTCCTGCTATAAATATAGTCATTTATGTCAATACAAAAGACATGAAATTGATTGCCTCTTACTAACCTGTTTCAAAGGTTGTCTTCTATTAATGAGGCAGTCACTCTAAGTGGAAAGGGGCATCGACCACTCTATTACAAATGGCACTACATGGTAGACTAGTTGAGGGGACATATAAACAAGAACGTGCTGAGAAGTACTAAAAGGAAGAAATCGAAGGCCTGACAAATATACACATCAGTACTAGTTTCCCACCATTTAGGAAGACAAGCTTAATTGAGGTATTTACTAAACAATAGCTTCCTGTAGCTAGCAATCTGAAGACTGCAAATTTGAAATGAGATGCCCTGTTACCTTTACAGCAATAGCTACAGTAATGGCTTGACTTTTCTCTACTTCTACATTCTGTCAAAACTCAAAACTGCCATTGTGCTCCATGAAGTCCAATGTCAACATCTTACCCTTCTAATTTCCTAAACTCTGTACAGTCCCAGAGCTGCCAGTCCAGTCCATCCAGGCATGCTGCAGTCCAGAGCTTCTCCAGGGAGGTGAATGCCATGTTCAGGGTCCAGGGTAGCCCTAATGCATGTACTGAATCTTGGATCACTAAGGACCTCTCATATAGTCAAGAGAAATCCAAGATCCCTAGAACTGCCTGTTCTTGGGACCCACCAGATTGGAAGGAATTGACAAGAATAAAGATGGGAGGAAAAAATAGGATGAACTCTTTCTGTAGACATTTATCAAATATCTAAATTCCACAATCCTAAGAATGGGGACCTAGACAGAATGCCAAACCTATATCATCCTGGATTTCACTACCACAGTCTTAGAGCTGCACTGGGGATTAAATGACATAACTTAATGATATAAACTCCATGCCAGTGAGGGGCCCAACTAGCCAGCAGCTATTTCCACAGCATATGTGCTCTGGCAGAAACCTGGAGTGAAACATAGTTTTCAGATACCTCTAGATTGATTCCAATGGCCTATATTACAAACTAACACTCCTACATTTCCAGTTGAATCAGTTAACCCCCAACTGGCTCTCAGTGTGAGGCTGGCTGGCAGTAGAAATTTGGGGTGACTCTAATGACAGAGCCAGAAGACTCCCAAGGATGCCTGCTGTTCTCTGTCTTACAGAGATCTTACTTTTTGCCACCAGCCTTATGCAAAGTGCTTGAAGATTTATTATGGAAATTACAGAAAACAAGTTTGGATTCATTTTTGTGTCCCCATATTAAGGTTTTATATACCTTTCAGTACTCCAACATTCCATTTCCAATCAATATGAATTTTAGCTTACTTTATTCAAAGACTTGTTAGTATACAGTATTATCTTTCTTTACTAATAGTAACTTAGTATATCTTTAAGCTTTGCTGGCCTGAGTCAGTTGACTTTTTAGTTGATTTGCTCTTCTTTTTTCAATTTGATTTAGAGAAAAATGTATTACTCTTAAATCACTGTTGTTCTTGAATAACATTTGTGAAGAGAATACAAAATGAAATATTTCTGCTTGATTAAGGCTGGCAATCATGGTCTGAACTTCAAATATTTTACAATTTCTTCTCAATACCCTACTTTCTAAGAGGCAATAGGTAGAGATTACATTTGGTAATAGTCATGCAAATTTACAAGCATACTGATTAATTCTGTATGCTTTCCTTAGATAAATTAGGAAATGCAAAAAGACAAAAGAATCCAAAGTCACTGCTGTTAGTAAAATCCTTGAGTTAATAGAGTCCACACTGAAGGATATCAATGGAAATCATTATAATCATAATATCTAGTATTAAATATTTCTCTCCTATGTGTCAGGCACTGGACTGGGTGTTTTAACTATAACTCTTTCATACTTCACAAAAATTTTGTTCCAGATGAAATGAGTCCAAAAAATTATTTGGATTTCTTTCTATCATGATGGAATAAGTGAGAACTGTCTTGCCCTCCCACTGTATCCAGACATTGGATGAAATACTTAAAAACAAACAAACAAAAAGAACTTCGAAGACATTTGACAACAGGCAGTCCACGACTGTGATGGCCAAGAAAAGGGAAATAAAACAGTTGAGCCCCACAATCATCCTGGTTTTCCACCTGGAGCCAATTTAGAACACAATGGTCTTATTGAATTGAGGAGACAAAAATTAGAGTTCGTGGAGGCCAAGGTATCTGTAATTTGTAGGAAAGACTACTACAGAAGATGGAGCCTCTCAGAAAAAGAACATGAGAAATATACCCTTGAGTTTGTTTTTGAATACTGTATGTGAGTAAGTTGAAACTGCAGGAGACTGGCAAACAAAATGAAAGATTAGCAGCTCCCAAGCACACAGAGGACTGGGAAGTATTCAAATTCTCACAAGCCAGAGTAGAGATATTTTATTGATCACCCAGCACAGTCAGCCACAAAAGGTCACCTTTTAGTAGTAGGGCATGACTATCCCTAGAGTAAAGGCTATTCTAGACTTACCTCCCCCAAATGTAAAAACAAACCTGGAAAGGATCAATCGGGTCAGCAACTAACTTTCCTGCCACAAAAAAAGGTCATACTTTTTTAAAAAGACAGTAAAATTCAATCACTTAACAATTTAACCTACAATGACCAGTATTCAAACAAAAATTATTAGACATGCAAAGAAACAGGAACATGTGAACCATGACCAGAAGAAAAATCAGTCGAAAGACACAGATTCAGGAATGAGGGATGCCAGTTAGTAGACAAAGAATTTGCTCAAAATGTAAAAGAAAGCATGAGAACAATAAGAATAAAAATGTAATATTTTACAAAAAGACTGTGAACCCCCTCACCCCTAGCAGCAAAGGGTGAGTGGAGAGCCCATACTTCCACTCTGCAAAGCACCTCAACCACCCAACAATAACAAAATACACATTACCTTCAAGTACCCACAAAATATATACCAATATAAATCATATTCTGAACCATAAAACAACTTAAACTAATTTTAAATAATTGAAATTTTAAAGAGTGTTTTCTGACCATAAAGGGATCAAACTAGAAATCTATAATGGAAAGATAAGAGAAAAACCTCAAAATACTTGAAAACTAAACATCATGTTTATAAATAATCCATGGATCAAAGAGGTAACCTATAGGAACATTAAAAATAAACATTGAATTGAATGAAAGTGAAAATACAACATAAAATTTGTGGAATATAGCAAAAGCAGTGCTGAAAGGGAAATTTATATCCCTAAATGCATACATTAGAAACAAGGAAAAGTCTCAAATCAGTAATCTAAAGTCTCACCTAAAGAAACTAGAAAAAGAAGAGCAAAATAACCCAAAACAAACAGAAGGAAGAAAATAATAGAGATAAGAGAATAAATCAATGAAATCAAAAACAGAAAAACAATATAGAAAATGAGTGAAACAAAGAGCTGTTTCTTTGAAAAGATTAATAAAATTGACCAAACTCTAGCAAGACTACAAAGAAAAAAGAGAAAGACACAAATTACCAATATCATGAATGAAACAGGGCAGATCGCTACAGACCCTGAAAATGTCAAAAGAGTAATAACAGGAATACTATGAA